ACTGCTACTGCTACTACTACTACTACTACTACTACAACTACTACGACGACGACTACTGCTGCTACTACTACTACTACTCCTCCTGCTGCTGCTGCTGCTACTACTACTACTACTACTACTATTCTTATTATTAGTATTAAAATTTTGAATAAGAATAATGATACTACTAATAATAATAATAACAACAATAGCAACAACAATAATAATAATAATTGAAATTGTAAGTGTAATTGTAACAACAATACCAACGCAAATATTACTAGTACATGTATATACCCACGTACACAATTTCCTGTTAACATGCACATAAATACATACACATCCATACATATACACGCATGCATACATACATACATACATACATACATACATACATACTTACATACACATGCAGCATAATATGGCACAGCAAACTGAAGTTGCATTTATGCATACAAAGACATCCATCCATCCATCCATCCATCCATGCATGCATGCATGCATACATACATACATACATACATACCCTCTGAATTGTATCGAGGCCTCCGCAAGGGACTGGTGGCTCAATGGCAGGCTACCCCTAGTGGGTCCTTGGCCCGGCTACTCTCCAGCACTGTTTGTTAAAAAATTGTGGTTGAAGCTACACAAGCCTTTCGCCTAGATTTGCCACACTCGAGGTTCGCCTTCTTGAAGGCATTCTTGTTGGACAAAGACAATTTGGCTACCATCGAGGTACAGCCCTTCTATGAGGAGATCCACGGCTGCATATAGTTCGAGAACCTAATTCACCATTTCCTGCTGAAGTCTTTAATGAGTGACCCTAGAACCCTGAAGCTTAACTTCATCTCTATACTTGAAACTTTTGCCTAGCTGAGGATGCAGGAGGATAAGAGCAAGGAGAAGTTTACAGAGATGCCTTTATGCCTTATCATCGAGAAGTACAAGAACGCCCCTGGCGGGAAGCAATTTGTGCAGGATATCTTGAAGAGTGCCTAGGCTGCATCTCAACCCTATGTACGCCCCCCAACTCTAGAACTTTGTTGATCCCAGTTGCTCCCAGGTCAGACTGGACGAAAGCATCCTCAGTCTGAGGACAAAAACATGAGAATTTACAAGGTCTTTGATTGCATCGCGAACAGCAGTGCCTTGGTACATCTACAGAGCTTATGATTCCCTAGCTTACGTGTATAATTAGTGCATTCATACAGCCTCATACAATAGTGTACAATGTGGTTCGATCAAATCCCCAATCGAAGGTTCCACCATCAGCCGCATTGGCAACAAGACTCGAGCAACGGCACAAGTTTCGAGCAACAAGGCCGAACGCGCCGCCGTGGTGGAAACATTGGAAGCCAAAGTGTCACAGATGGGAAATCCTGCTGTGCTTTCGGGACCCACTAATAAAGGATCTAACAAAGGCAAGGCCAAGAGCAAAGGCAAGGGCAAGCAGAAGGACTGCTAGGGATCACGACCGATCTCGAAAATAGGCTTGGGGTTTCACTTGGCAATAACTTTTACTTTAGCATCAGGAGCTCACGCAAGATCAACTGGATCAGAAGTCTTTCAACAAGGACCTTCAAGCGAAGCTCTGTTTGCATTTTGTAGTGTACGCACCAGAAGCACCCCTATATATATTGTGCAGCCAAGGCTACGCGATTTGGTCGACAAATCCGTTGCAGTCGCAGCGGGCCTAGCCAACTGTGGTCTACAGAACCAGGAGTCCACAGTGAATCAGCTCGGGAACATTGCAACGCACACCGGCCAAATCCGAGATGAGATTCCTGATTGCACATAATCCAAGCCATGGCAACCCGAACACACAGACTTTATATATGTAATCACGACCGGATGGCAAACCCAGGCTCCAGCAGCTGGTGTTCAAGAGTACCCCGCTGTCCGAGTGCTTGGAATGGATGGATGCTTACAAGAAGAGCCCGATCCAGGCCGGCTACCGATAGTTTTATAAAAGGTGTCATAAGCCTTAAAACACCCTAAACCCGAAATCCCAAAACCTAAGTGATTGTGTGAAACCGAAAAGAACTCATATTAGAACCCTAGTTCTCAAACCTAACCCTGCAACACTGAAATGCTAATTACCCAAGATTGTTGGCATACCCAAAATTGCCTTAGAAATTCCACCTCAATCTCTAGAAACCTTAAGGCACCGAGATAGACTGTACACCCTCATAGTCCGTTATCGGGGCAAGGGGGAATGGACAAGACCGACGAGAACACCCTAAATTCACCCTAACACCACAAACCAACTATAACCGCTGGCAACTTCAAATCCAAGCTGCTTGTCCAATGATCATAGTCGTGATCATATACTACCTGGGCACCCACGCAGATTACAAACAACCACAAAGCCAGCCGACACCCTATGTCATCCAGCCACCAGAGCCCTAAATTAAAACACCCAGGCAGACTGCTTCGGGTCCTCAGGCTCTTCGGCACCCTCCAAACCGTATAGGCTTTGTGCAGTTAACTTGCCATTGTTAATTCCAACCGAGTCCCGCATCTCATTATTGTACCGCCGCCAATATATTGTCGAGCAGGACTACCAGCGCCAAGTCCTGGATGCCGAGGGCATTTGGCAAGGCCAGGAACGTCGTGGCTTGGCTTATTTACTGGGCATATAAAGCTGCAGATGCTATTTTCAACACCAGTTCGTTCAGCTGACTGAGGCAAAGCAGCGGCCAAGAGAAAGCTTGAGAAAGCAGAAGAAAAGAAGAACAAGGACAAGGGGGGAAAAGAGGAAGAGGCATACGATGAGCAGTTCGAGGAAGATGCCTTCGACGAGGAAGGCGAAGAGGACAATAATGAAGATGATCCATGGGAAGCAGATGAGGAGCAGGAGGACCACGGTGCCGAGGTTAATGATGCTGCTTCTGTAAAGCGTGCCCGCAAGTAGCTCTGTACATGTGTGTGTGTGGGCGAACAAGTGATCGAACTTTGGCTTCGGTATATCCGGGGGCAGGGGATGGATTGATGGGGCACCCACAGGCAACAGCACACTGACTAGCGAAGTTCATCTGTGTTCAACGCATGTATATAAGTGTGCTGCGTGTGGACATGCCCCGTGATCGAACCATGCAGCAGATCCTAAGCTTCGAAGGTGCTTGGGCATAGCTGAATTACCAGCTGGGGTTCAACACTTCGCGTGCTACCATAATGCACAACGTGAGAAACAAGCAGATGCGCGAGTGCTCGCAGCCTTGAGTGCGGACCAGCAGCTGTTGCAGAGTGTAGGTGCAGCCATACAGATCGGCTCTCAAGCCTAGGTTCCATCGTCCAGTCTGGGCCCTGTAGAAAAACCTACAGCCTCGCTTGAAGCTACCGATACATGTACAATCAGTTTCCAGCAAGAACCCTAAACCCTAAACAGCCCGAAACCCTAACCCCTAAACTCTAAACCCTAACCCCTAAACTCAAACCCCTAATTAAACCCTTAAACTCGAACCCCTATATAAACCCCTTAACTCTGAACCCTTTGCCCCTTTGCCCGAAACTCTAAACTCCAATCCCTACGCCCTAAACCCTAAACTTGCCAGACCTTTGTAGAAAAGGGAGCCTGTTTCAGATCGCAAGCCCAGGTCCAATTGCACCTCGAGTCCGACCAGCTAGCAGCCCATATATCCCGAACCCAACCAGTAGTAGCCTTTGAACCACCGACGACGGAAAAGTGTCAGCAAGGCCTGTGCGATTACAAGATTCGTGATTTTTCGGGGTGTAGGGGTTTTAGGGTTAAAATTTAGGGTTTGGGTGAGATTAGACCAGAAGCCTTTGGGTATACGATCGAATGTACACCTAACAGCCTACACTTGAGCCCCACCGGTAACCCACTCCACAAACCCTCTTTAAAGCCCCAATTAGAAACAAGTTGGCGCCAAGCTCTCCGTCCAGCCGCAATGATCATCCAACGTGCATGGCAGCTTCCTGTAGCGGATCCACGTGGGCACAAGACTATGTGCAAGAGACTTGCGACAGTATTTTGCGGCTCCTTTCTACTGGGCAGGCCATTTATATGAATACCTTGAGCACATTAGATAGTTAACAATCCCGGTTGCAGTCAGTTGGATCAAGCTATCGGCCAGATTCCTATGGAAGAGCTCAACTGCCAACTGGAAAAGCTTCGACGACTGCCAGTTGCCGTGGTACCGTGTCTTGTTTGCAAACGCCCTATCCTTGATTTCAATAATACCAGCACTTTTGCATCTGAGGCCAGATTTACTGGAACTGGCTCATATTTTTCAGAACCCCAACAGTTGGGGAAAACTTCGAGCTCTTGAGCGCTGGGCCTATCGGCAGCCGTGGTTCCAAATATTCCCACGACCCTTCCCGAGCCTTACCTGAAATAAATGCAATGCATCCAAACTGTTCTTGGCTTCTACCTTGCATACTGCATCCAAGGATGAAACTCAAAGCCGCACAGAACTCAATATCCCTCGAATTTGCACGTGTCGAAGCTACAGTGCCAATCTTAAGAGCCCTATAATTGCCAGTACTTGCATGCGAGCGTCGCCAAGGTATATGCCGATGCCCAAGGCAGACGAGAACGCCTTATCGATCATCATGTGCTCTTACCACATGAAATCATTGGAAGTTTGTACGATGCGGGCAAGCTTGATATGGTCACGGGGAAGGCTTCTTGCTTTATGAGTATCATGCATAAAAGATCGTAACATCCTATTTATGAACATCTGCTCATCATAAAGCCCCTCCTTTGTATAATTACCCAATACCTTGAAACACATGTGTGCTTATGTGTAAACCTATATACGGCTACAAGAAGCTTGTGCATATCTTTGTACATATGAATGTGCACACACACATATATATAATATATATATATATGTGTGTGTGTGTGTGTGTTGGGTGTGAATAAATAAATAACTACATAGAAATATACACACACAAAATATTGGTTCTGTTTCTGTTCAGCTACCTCTCCCTTATCCACTCTCTCTCTCTCTCTACCTCTCTCTCCCTCGGATCTATCCATCCATCTCTCTCTCTCTCTCTCTCTCTCTCTCCCTCTCTCTCTGTCTCTGTCTTTCACTGTCTCGAGATAAGGAAGAGGATTTGGTGCAGTATTGGGACGATCTGTCCCATTGCGACTGGTTTCAGCAGCACCCGATTCTAAGTGCCACCAGTCTGCACCTATTCCAGATATTCTCTACGAGGTGCCGGAACATGATTCGCTGAAGCCTTCAAACTTATCGATTGCTCGATTCCAAGGTTACGGATCCCCGACTTTGTATATCGCTGCGGATATACGGAGATGGGGCAGAGTCTACCAGTCACACAGCTGCAAATATTGAACCTTTGACCAAGATAGCTATGTGATAGGTGTAAACCGAACATTCTTAACTTAAATGGTGGCCGAATTACCTGGCATGCCAGGACATCAGAATTTCGAATGCTTTGCTATGCTGGCACCAATGGCACCGGCATCGACAATGCTATCACGTTTTCTGCATTTAGGCTCGCAACTAGATACTCATAAGGAACGATGATATGTAGACAATTTATGGACGTATAGATATCTTTCTAATACGTATTGCAACAACCCATAAGGATCAGCTGTATGAATATGCAATATCATGATGGCAACTGCCGCGATGTGATATTGCACATGCTGGCGTGGTCGTTCAACTGCCTTGGCCGCTCAGCTGCATCAGACAATGAACAGTGCAATACTGCGTTTCGATCATCCTAGGAACCGGTTTGTACCCGTTCTCGGACCCGTTTGGAACCGAGTTCGGGCCCGACTACATGCCCCGAAGGTGGAAATTGTCTGGCCGGCCGATCTGCGGCCCCTACCGGGGGATCTTTGACGGAGTTCAAGGAGATCTGGAGTTCATCCGAAAGGTGTTTGCTTTACAACGCAACTTGGCAGCCATCTTGAATACCTGCCTGTACGTTGAGATATAGACACAAGTACACACCTCGGTTTATGACTGTTCCTGTTAGCCCAGGTGACACTAGTCGACAGCAGATGTGCCATTACTGCAAGGTTCCCTGAACTGCTTCATCAGATGTTAGCTATACCCTAACATCCACCTTATGCCCGACTCAGCATCCTAAACCCTAGTCCCTAAGCTGCCCTTTATCAACCAACATTAACAGGCTGTCAGTTGGACATACGATCACAACGATGATGGTATGGA